AATAGGCCTTCAACTACAAACACAAATACAAAAAAGAAAAAAAAATCAAATGTATTTGTTTCGAGAGAACATACATAAATATGGTGCCAAGTAAATTCTGACTGTGACCCAGCGCAATACATCGCATAGCTATTCAAGAAGAACAAGCAAAATTTCATGCCAATGTATTACACAATACACCCTGTCTTGCAGGTAACGAGATTGAAGCATCATCTTTAGAGTGCAGGTAACAAAATTTCCCCCACAAAAATGTCATCATCTTCAGCTCTGGAAACATCAGGGCCTTGGTTCTCTTTTGAATCAGGATGTCCCTGTTTCGCAGGTGGGGGAGGTAGAGGCAGGTTTTCTCTGTAAGTTCTATCTTTTATAATTTCACCGTCAACCTTTGACACCCCTCCATCTTCTACATATTCATTGCCAATAATTGTTATCGTTCATGTTGATTTGACAATGTGTTACATGCAGATGGAAATTACAGAGGTCAAGAAAAAGAAAAAGTAATGCTAAAAACACTAACTAGTGTACTAACAAACATATCAACTAAGACACAAGACATACATGTGCGATCCACCACTTGACACGAGACTCACTTAACATTGTGTCTAGTTGGTACATTAGTTATGTTTGTTGGTACATTAGTTAGTGTTTTTAACATTATTGGAGGAGGAAAAAAGGATACTACATTCATTACAAAACATAATCAAAAAACCACCACACAGAAATGCACATATACAGAAAACAAAATAAGACAGCAAGTGTGGAAATCTGAAAAAGTAGAAACCTCTCACCCACCCTAGGAAATCGAAACTAACCAATCTGGTACCAAATGGCTAACACCATAGCATTATAATCCATGCATGCATTGCATGAATGGTCACATGAATTCTCCAGAAACTTACCGATGATAAGAATTAATTAAATCACTGCAGAATTTCCTTTATGATCTCTCTGATTTTTGACTTATAAATTAAGTTTCTCCTCCCCCACTCAAAGAATAAGTTGATTTTTAACTTACAAAAAGCTATAAGTTGTATTGTTAAGCTGAACCAAACACATCAAAATAGCTTAAATTAAGCTAAAAGCTAAAATAAGTTGGAAATAAGCCCTACCAAACAGGGTCTATATATGTGTAAATATGTGTGTTGATGGTGTGAAGATGTTATTGTGTTGTAGGGATGGGAAGAAGGCGAAGGCCTTGGGAAAGAGAAGCAAGGGATCAAAGGATATGTCAGAGTTAAGAACAAACAGGACATTGCAGTTTTTTTTTTTTTTTTTTTTTTGTTGCTCTTCGTTTCTCTGATTTTTTTTGTTTATTCATCAAATTCATGCTCTATTTTGTTGCCTAGAACATAAAGTTTTTTTTATTTTATTTTATTTTAATTGTCTTCTGAGGAGGAGATGGGGGATGTACTCCGCGGTTTAGGGGAAGATGGGGGATGTACCTCTAAACCAGATAGTGTTGGGAGGAGATGGGGGATGAACTCTGTAGGTACAGCTCATATGCTTATCTTTGTGAAGTGTAGATACAGCTTATATGCTTATCTGTGAATGTGGGATATAGTTGTTATACATATCTTTTGAGAATGTGGATACAGCTTATATGCTTATCTGTGAATGTGGGATATATTTTTTATACATGTCTGTTGAGATGATGATAGAGCTAATATGCTTATCTGTTGAAAAAGGGAAAATGAAAAGTAACTTGGACTCATAAGTCGTATGACATAAAATGTGATTTATGTGGATGTATCAGTGTTGGCCATCTATCAATTGCTAATCTTTTTGTCATTGTTCATGGTTGGTTTAGTGTATTTCTACTGGGCTGTGGCTCACCCTATATGGGAATATCATTTTCAGGTGCAGGTAGCATGCCACCTCCAAGGTCATAGCTTGGGAGGCTAGAGGCGGGCAGATTTTTGTTGTTTAAGTTCCTTTTTGATGTATTACATGTATATTCAAGCCGAGGGCTTAATGTGTAGCTGAGTTAGCACTCTTTTGTTGTAACCAAGTGTTAACTTGGAAAGCTATAAGCCCGTAGGGCATTTTTCTTTTGCTGTTAACATGTAATACTTTTGTAATGAAACTCTGATGAATAGAAGAATGTGGATATTTCGTATGTCAATGAATGTTTTATTTGATGGGTTTAATGTTATTATTTTGAGGGCGTTACAGCTACTATACGGCGAGATGTGGGCCTCCAAAAACCTTCTTCTTCAATTTTTAAAACCATCCCCCACATTTACCAGCTATTATACAGACGGTCGTGGGCACCGAAAAACCATTTTTCAACTCCCCGCACGAGTACCAACATAACACCACCCAACACAACTCAACCCAAACTCAACACACCCCAACACAACTCAACTCAAACTCAACATGACTCAACACAACTCAAATCAAACTCAACACAATTCACATGATTCAAACACAATTCATCATACACTGCTGGAAATGAGGCTTTTGGGGCGTTTAAAAAACGCCGCTGTAACTATCAAAAACGCTGCTAATTCTTTTTGCGACGTTTAGTACCAAACGTCGAAGATGCGGCCGTTGCTGTATCTTTATGGCGCTTTAAAAGCGTCGTTATATGAGAACAGGTTGCGTTTTTAAAAACGCCACTAAATGTGTTACATAACAGTGACGTCGACATTTAACGACGTTTTAAAAACGTCGTGGTAGCTTTTTTCTATTTTAAAAATATAACACTATGGTGGCGTTTAAAAAACGCCGTTATAGCTTCATTTTTCTTTTCTTTTTTTTTTAAAAAAAAAAAATTGTGCTAATTCTATGATGCATAAGCCCTCATAAACACTTTGGCAAGTACAGCAACAAAAGGAAAATAGGCCTTCAACTACAAACACAAATACAAAAAAGAAAAAAAAATCAAATGTATTTGTTTCGAGAGAACATACATAAATATGGTGCCAAGTAAATTCTGACTGTGACCCAGCGCAATACATCGCATAGCTATTCAAGAAGAACAAGCAAAATTTCATGCCAATGTATTACACAATACACTCCTGTCTTGCAGGTAACGAGATTGAAGCATCATCTTTAGAGTGCAGGTAACAAAATTTCCCCCACAAAAATGTCATCATCTTCAGCTCTGGAAACATCAGGGCCTTGGTTCTCTTTTGAATCAGGATGTCCCTGTTTCGCAGGTGGGGGAGGTAGAGGCAGGTTTTCTCTGTAAGTTCTATTCTTTATAATTTCACCGTCAACCTTTGACACCCTCTCATCTTCTACATATTCATTGCCAATAATTGTTATCGTTCATGTTGATTTGACAATGTGTTACATGCAGATGGAAATTACAGAGGTCAAGAAAAAAGAAAAAGTAATGCTAAAAACACTAACTAGTGTACTAACAAACATATCAACTAAGACACAAGACATACATGTGCGATCCACCACTTGACACGAGACTCACTTAACATTGTGTCTAGTTGGTACATTAGTTATGTTTGTTGGTACATTAGTTAGTGTTTTTAACATTATTGGAGGAGGAAAAAAGGATACTACATTCATTACAAAACATAATCAAAAAACCACCACACAGAAATGCACATATACAGAAAACAAAATAAGACAGCAAGTGTGGAAATCTGAAAAAGTAGAAACCTCTCACCCACCCTAGGAAATCGAAACTAACCAATCTGGTACCAAATGGCTAACACCATAGCATTATAATCCATGCATGCATTGCATGAATGGTCACATGAATTCTCCAGAAACTTACCGATGATAAGAATTAATTAAATCACTGCAGAATTTCCTTTATGAGAAGAATTTTGAATTCATACCAGTTTGTTAAGAGCAATTATATTCATGCTAATCAGGGTGGCTATGTTCCCATTTACCCATTAGACCAGAGGTAACGTTTTCGTCATGTTCTAAAGCACAGATGTGCTGAATATGCTCTGAAAAGTGCCATGGATTTGGAATTAAATAGTTACTTGGAATATCATGCAAAAATACAAACCAAACTGACAGTGGCCAACAAGTTTTTTTCAAAAAAATAGTATAGCATACCTTTCACTTCTCTTTCTTTCTTCTTTTTCTAGAGAACCTTCCCAGATGATCCAAGGCGAAGATATGACATAATTTTAACAATTTGATCTAGCACAGAACCATCAACACTGACAGTAACCATTTCCTGCAATATACGTAAAGATGAAAATTAAATAACTAGAATAACACCTAAGAAAATTTGCAATAAAGAGGAAATAAAATACAAACCTCTGGAACCGGACAGTCAGCTTTACTTCTATGCGAAGTGGTTGGAATATCATGGGAAAACCCACCCTCCTACCATACATGAAAGATAATTTAGATTGAAAATTTTGCTTAAAAAGGTGTGTTTGCTGTTTTAGAGTCCAGCACTTTTTCTCCAATATTGTAGATGCACAAAATCATAGTCATAAATAAATAAATAAAATGAAAAATCATAGCAACTACCAGATAGTACTGAGCAAATTTGATATGCATATAGCATAACACCTTCATCTTATAGATTACTAGCTTTTTGAAAAACCAAATCATCTATACTAGCCCTAAGCTCAACGTCATGAGTCACAACTCGCACCTGCCAGCCTAAAGTCCAAATTGTATGATAATTAGAGTACAGTCCATAACTCATGAATATGATGGTAAGACTTGGGAGTTATAACTTCTAGGTTTCAAGTTAAACTCTTGGTGAAGCCAAGGCTCTTGTTTTTCATCCAGTGATGAGGAGTGGTGCCTCTCATTAACCCCAAGACAGGAATTTTGTTACCTGCAAGACAGGAATTTTTTTACATACATAAATATGGTGCCAAGTAAATTCAGACCGTGACACAGCGTAATACATTGCATAGCCATTCAAGAAGAACAAACAAAATTTCATGCCAATGTATTACACAATACATTGCGGTCTTGCAGGTAACGAGATTGAAGCATCATCTTTAGAGTGCAACTCTCTCTCAAGTGATTCAGCTTCATTCCTATCTTGTTCCTGTAGGGCAGAAATCACTTGAGATGTTAAATTCTGTCGACATTCTCTTCTTATGTCCGAGAGAATAATAGACAGGATGGGCTCCGTAGTAATGTTTCTCCGAGACAGAACCTTTAACATGAAAATATTATTGCACAGTAAAAATCACATAATGTAGTGTTCCCACCCCCATCTTAGCCATGTGCATCTGCATCTGCATGATCTTGTTTTGTTAAACTTGCATTAGTGGATCTTGGCTTGTCTTACCTAGACTAAAGTTCCTTGTCTTGTTCTGTACTTAAGTGATTTTGCTCATGAGTCTTGTACCCTACTTGGTGAGTGTAGCCGAGGTCATCTTAAGCTTAGGTCACGCCTTTGAACCTCCTACACCTAGGACCATCTTGGAACCGCTTCGTCCGACCTCCACCCTCACCCTGGCATCTTGGCCGAGATGTTACCACCTAGGCGTTCCAGATCTTCGATCCCTGCACCCGAGATTGGCATGACCTAGGCCGAGGTGTGGCACATCTAGGCCAAGGTGTGGCACATTTGGGCCATGTGTTATCCTTCCTGGCCAAGATCATTACAACCTACTTGCCAGAGCCGACGTCTTAACCCGATGCCATCGCCTTACTAGAGAGCCCATACCGTCTTGCTTATTGTATACACTTTGTCATACCTTTAGTCTTGTCATTCAGTCACCTTTTTGAGGAAACCCAATCCGACGTTGCCATGTGTTCCAGCAGAGGGTTAAGTCAGGAACCAGCTGAGAAAACATATCATTTTGTATCATATCTTTGTCTTAGAGAGAGAAGCTCTAGGAAGAAGAAGGAGTTCTTGAGAGAGAAGTAGATTTCCAAGCTTGATCTTCACACCTTGAGCCGTTAGATCCGTGTCTTAATGTTGGAATCTTGATCTGCTCATGTTGTTCTTTAAGTTCATGCAATCGCATTGAATGATCTAGCATGATTCATGAGCCATGCATTGATTTAAAGTTTGGTTTTAGAAAGAGAAAATGATGTTCTTGTGTTCTTGAAATAAAACCATGTTTTGATCTGAAAGTTTGTACCAAGATCCATGTTTTTGTGTTTGTTTTCATAAGATCTTCAAGTATGGGTACTCAGGTCCATGTTTTCAAACTCATCTCGTGAAAATCCCAGATTTTGTAATAACAAGTTATGATCTTTGCATTCATGTTCTTCATGTTCTTCGAAGGGAAACCCAGATTTCCCGACTTCACTTTCTTGAATGTGGTCATCGGGAACACACCTCGGCCTAGAGGTGTGGGACCTCGGCCAAGACCTGGAAGGTGCCCAGCCTATTTTCCCTAGATGTGAAACAGAGTTTTGTTTTGATTCGACTTAGTTTTGAAAGAATGTGAAAGAATACCGAGATCATTTGCATTTCATATCCATCTTGGAACATCCCTTCTTGTCTTCTTGAAGTGCATTCAATGGGAATTATTATATGTTTGTAGGTCTTGGATCCCCGCTTTAATCCCTACAACCGAAGAACTATGTGAGTGGTATTTTTAATAAAGCTATGTTCTAACGTTTTGATAAAAGCTTTGTTTTGCTTTGTTCGGAAAAGTGTGTGTTCAAGTATGAATGATTATTCCTAGTTTTGTATCAAGTATTATCTTGTTTTGATGACATTCTTGGAAAGTCCTTAGTGCTAGGGGACTATAATGCAACTAGTACCCTTGTTTTAGAAGTCCTTAGTGCTAGGGGACTATAATGCAACTAGCACCCTTGTTTGAGATATCTCCCTTGCCACCGACGGTCTTGTGTGGGTGGGTTTGTCTAATCGATTCAGGGTCGATTATTCCCTTGTTTTGCCACTGACGGTTTTCCGCGTAGGTTTTGTCAAGAGTGTCATCCCTTGTATTATATTGATGCTAGTAAACATCCCTTGAAGCTTTGAAAGATTTGATAGATGGACTTGGTTCATCCCTTGATTTTGATATAAGATATGCTATGTATTGTTTTGAAAAGAGATCGTGAATATCATTCATGCAAACCTTTATTACTGATACCATTCACTGAGTATCCAAGCTCACCCTCCCTTATATATATGTAGTTGAAGAGCAGGACGGCGGCGACGCCCAGATGTTATTTGAGATTTGTTTTGGACTCATGTTTTGCAGCATCTTGAAGATTATGCTTCTAGCCTTGTAGTTCATTTATCTTGTACATGTCGGCTTGAGAAGCCTTTTGATCAAGATGTAACATGTACTTCATTTTATTTGTATTCAAGTTCTAAACCATGTTAAAATGTATGTCATTTCATTTTATCTATGCACAACTCTTATGGAGTACTTAGATTTAAATTCATTTGCTTCCGCACATGTAGGCCCCATTATTTATACTCTGATTGCGTGAATGTTCGTAAGTTGGCCTTTGGCAATCTCGGATTACTGGCCATCATGGCACCATTCTACTAGGGGCGGAATGGGGTTGTGGCACATAATCACATATTTTTTAATGTGAAGTGATCCTTTAAATATTTATAAGATTACCTCATGCCACTTTCTGGTGTAACGTTTAGTGACGTCATACACTCCATCTTTTGCAAAAGCAATTACATAATTCAAATTCTCTTTCTACCTTCAAAGAAAAAAACCATTTGCAAACAACATAGATGAAAGTCAAAAAGTTAATTCAACTATGAAGCATCAGGATGAAAAAAAAAAAACAATTCCAAAACTATATAGATGATGTGTAGGTGAAAGTACCCTTTCTCATATAGCAAAGGATTGTCGTATATTCCTTCACAAGGATCAAGATGCATCCATCTATGAAATTTGAACCCACCATAAGAATTTGTGGATGCACATAGAGAACATAATAAATAGCAGCAACTGCGTGAATAAAATATTTACCTTCCTAGAACAGGTGACATGCACTCTGTCCAAACATGATCTGTGAAATCCATGACCTGGAACAAATAGAAAGTGCGTCAATGAAAACATTTTTCTATCAACCTCAGATTCTAATTTCTGGAAATTACATGAAGTTTAGGTTTTTTTAATTTTTTTTTAAACATCAACTAAATCTACTCTTGTAGAGAAACTTTAACGAACATTACCTGGTGAGATTTAATACTCAATTTTAACATAGAACCATTAATTTCCTAAATGAATAAACAACATAAGCAATCCATTCATTTCCTGAATTTCAAATATGAACTTTTGCCAATTTCACCAAATTTTCAGATTTTTTAGCCAATTTCTTTCTGTCCGGTGATTATTAAAGAAGGAAAAAAAAATAAACAAGTAAATCAATTTCAAAAAAAAAAAAAAAAGATCTAGCATTGATGTGGGCAACCATATTGAGCTTCCTTAGGGCCGAGTAGAATTGACAACTGTATTAGTCTCTGTGGTGGCATCATTATCAACATCTTGAACATCATCCTTTTCAACAGCTGCAAGATGCATACAAAGAGGATCCACATCAAACTATCATGATATTATTAAGTGCAATCTAAATTCATTTTCATTTTGATGTACCTTCATCCTTCATTTCTGCTGCTTGCTGCAAAAATAAAAAGAAAGATTTACAGACAGAAAAACATAAGAACAATTTTTTTTTAAAGCTTATTAAATCTAATTCGAAGATAAATGTGAGAATTGCCACTTTTAATTTCTTTAGGATGTTGTCAAACTGTGAGGTATCAAACGCCCAATTAATTTTGGGTTCATCTACACCAATACCTGTTGTAATTTTTAAACTGTCAATGTGCTCTATATGTCTTGAACTGTTCTTACTCTTCTAATAAATGAAAAACTCATCCCACAACAAGTTGAACCTTATTAGCTCCTCTGATTCATAAGACAATTAAAAAAATAAAAATAACAGAACTCTCTGTTCTAGGCAACAAAATAGAGGATGAATTTGATAAATAAACAAAAATCAGAGCAAAAAAAGAACCTGTAGTGTCCTGTTTGTCCTTAACCCTGACACAGCCTTTGATCCCTTGCTTCTCTTTCCCAAGCCCTTCGTCTTCTTCCCACCCTTACAACACAATTCCATCTCCACACCATCAAAATTCATCAAACACACACATTACACATACATACAGATTCAAACCTGAGCTGAAGCAATGGTGTCCTAAATTTTCAATTTTTTTTTTTAAATTTTTTTTTGGTAATCTTATACTGGCTATATATATATATATATATATATAGAGAGAGAGAGAGAGAGAGAGAGAGAAGAAACCATTTGTTTCATGAGACGGAAAGTGGCGGACTTTCTCGCGATTCTGACATAGCAAATAGGAGCTTCAGGTGCCGCCATTTTTCTCTCTTTCTCTCTCCCTCTCAAAACAGTGCAGAGAGAGAAAAGACCGCGTAGCTCAACAAGCTCAAGAAGCCCTAGAAACTCAAAATGTACATATTCAACTCCACGGGACATCCAAATCAAACACCAGTTTCCAGCTAGAGAGAAACTACAGCCAACTAATAGCATGTACAAATGCAGTCAAACGAAAGGACAATTTGTCGACATGAACAAACCGAGAAGAGAGAGAGAGAGAGAGAGAGAGAGAGTACTGATTAAAGTTCAAAAAGAAAGTAGACTATTCACCGCCATCGGAGCTTGAAATGCGAGTAATCGAGGGGTCAGAGTTCAGATCTGAGCTGCTAGAAATCACTAAATCTCTGAATCTTTGCAAATGAGACGGTGGAGCTTACTACATCACCGATGCAGCTTCAAAATCGCTTCGATGGAGCTGCGATCTGAATCAACGATGGAGCTTAGATATGGATCTTCGATGGAGCTTCGAAATCGCTTCGATGGAGCTTCGATCTGAATCTTCGATGGAGCTTCGAAATCGCTTTGATGGAGCATTAATCTGAATCTTCTATGGAGCTTAGAGAGGGTTGAGAGGGAGACATAGATGTCTGCGTATTAAGGGTAGAGAAAGAGAGAGAGTTCTGAATCTTCGATCAAAATCGTTTTGTATAATAAGCTTACAGAGGGTTTTGATTCAAAATATGGTTTCACAAAAGGAGATGCGTGTGGCTACCGCATTTGGAGGCGTTTTTAAACGCTTCCCATCATAAAATGGTGTCGTTTCGTTTAATAAAATATGCAGCATTTATAAAACGCTGTTAAATACTAATAACAGTGATGTTTAAAAAAACATCATTAAAAAAACACCACCATATCTCCTTTTTGCTGTAGTGATAGTTCAATACCATTCAATTCAACGTTGTTCAACACAACTTAATTCAACATAAGTCAACACAACTTAATTCAACAATACTATTTACAATTCAACATAATTTAAGATAAATTCTTGAATCCCCTGTCAACATTTCATAACTACGTTTATGTCATCTATATCATTAATAAGTCATTTACCCAATCTTCCTTTCACATTATAGCATGATTTACTATGCCCATAATAAAAGTTCAATCGCTAATTTTTAACATAATTTTGAAACACCTCCAAAATCCAATTAAACTTGTACATATATAATTCAACCTACCAATTACATGATTCTACTTTCAATTTGGGGAAAATCATTAACTATCATAATGAATTAACTTAGGGTTTTCAAGAAAAATTAAGATTTTCAACAAAAATTCAAACTTCTTCAACCACTACTTCTAATTCCAATTTCCCTCTTGATTATACACCTAAGGTTCATAATCCACCATATTAACCCAACAATTGAACCCCCAGCACTTCAAACCCTAAACCCCCAAATCTTAAGATGTTTACCATATGCTCAAAAATGAAGATTTTGCATTTCTATAATCAAAATATCACAAATCTATCTATTTGTGGAGGTGATGAAGAAGAACTAGGACCCCTACCTCAAGAATCAAACACTAGAGCAAAGCTTTGATGAGATTTCTTCACAAATTCGAATTCCAATCGGTAGAAAATGTTGAGCTTCAAGCCTTCTTCACTTTATGGCAAGGGATCTTGGCCAAATCTTGGAGGAATAGAAGGTATTTGGGGTCAAAAACCTAGGGTTTTCGGACCTAGGGTGAGAGAAACGAAGAAGGAAAAGGAAAATACAAGGGATGAGCTAAAAATCACGCTTTTAAGTTGCTGAATCCGCGCAGTCCGCTCGAGCGTCTCTTTCCACGCTCGAGCCTACCTACTTCCAGCACAGATATGAAAATTTCGAATGGGTATAACTTTCTCATCTAGACTCCATTTTAGGTCGTTCTTGTGTCCAAAGTGAAGCCTCGGAAATATGCTTTCAAATGGTTCTAGTCTTACATTCAAATTCAAAGTGTGGAAAAAGAAAAGGGAAAAAGAGTGACGGTTGTTCGTAGGAAAAATTATCCAAATTATTTTCTTGGTCCAATCTTACTTTACCATTATGTTACCACCTCAATCAATACCCCAAAAATAAAATGAGGAGGTTCCAAATACACTAAAAAAATGCCAAGGGCAATCTCACTTTCCACGCTCGAGCGTCACTTCCCACGCTTGAGCGTGAGCAGACCAATAAAGTCGTCCGCTTAAGCAACCACTCCCACGCTCGAGCGGGAATTCATAACTCTCAGAATTTCAGACTATCTGCAAAAATACTAAGAACCTCTCAAGTCCAATAGAACGTCAACTCCCCCGTTCAAGTGAAGGGAAAAATTCCGAATCATTACAGCCACCCTCATAGAAGGCTTGAGTTAGGCCCAAGACGGGGGGCAGGGCCAAGCAAGGTCCTCCACAAGCAACTTCGAAGCTAGCCTCGAAGGTAGGAAGAACTAGTTCATCAACTGAGCTAGTGGGTTCATGGGTACCTGGGGTTCCAGATTGGTTTGTAATGCAGAACAAGCCTAGGGAAATACCTACCTAGAGAAATGTTGTTGGAGACCATGGTAGAATGGTTAGACCTCCTTTAGTGTCTGTAGACACCCCATTTTTGACCGTCCTCAAGACTTCGACGTCACCGTTTGAACACTCGGTGATCATCCATGATCGTGTTCGTTTGGAGTTCCCGGAGGTCTCGGCTCGTGCGCCCTGCCTCAGGATCTCCGAACTTGACCGTTTAGTGTCTGGTTTTGCACCGAACACTTGTGTTTTGCCTTGGAAGGGCAGGGAATGCCTTATGAGGCATCCCCACACACCACCGGCAGTGGCTGGAAGCCACCGGATGGTCTTTCTCTTCCATCGGCACTTTTGTTTGCCGGTCGGCACACTTTATTGCCGATCGGCATAATATGTTGCCGGTCGGCACAGTTTTTTGCCGAAATGTCATTTTTGGGCAGCCGACCACTGTTCATCCACTTTATGGAGATATTTTGTGCCAGCTGTGATAGCTGGCACCAACTCTTCCCCCCTCCATACACGTGTATGGAGGGATTTCCCTCTAGCCAAGCTTGTTGTATAAGCTTTGCAAGAGGGAGTCCTATAAGAGAGGGGCTTTCCTCTTGGTTCTAGGTTAGAAAGTCAGAAGCAAAAACCAGCCTTTAGAGAGATAGATACATATTTTATCTATACCTCTCTCCCTCTCCCTTCTTGTGTTTATACCACTCTTTGGTTAGAGACATTGGGTTGTGCACCCGATGTCTATACCACTCCTTGGTTAGAAGCGTTTGAGACATGTGTCCGATGTTTATACCACTCTTTGGTTAGAGACATTGGGTTGTGCACCCGATGTCTATACCACTCCTTGGTTAGAAGCGTTTGAGACATGTGTCCGATGTTTATACCACTCTTTGGTTAGAGACATTGGGTTGTGCACCCGATGTCTATACCACTCCTTGGTTAGAAGCGTTTGAGACATGTGTCCGATGTTTATACCACTCTTTGGTTAGAGACATTGGGTTGTGCACCCGATGTCTATACCACTCCTTGGTTAGAAGCGTTTGAGACATGTGTCCGATGTTTATACCACTCTTTGGTTAGAGACATTGGGTTGTGCACCCGATGTCTATACCACTCCTTGGTTAGAAGCGTTTGAGACATGTGTCCGATGTTTATACCACTCTTTGGTTAGAGACATTGGGTTGTGCACCCGATGTCTATACCACTCCTTGGTTAGAAGCGTTTGAGACATGTGTCCGATGTTTATACCACTCTTTGGTTAGAGACATTGGGTTGTGCACCCGATGTCTATACCACTCCTTGGTTAGAAGCGTTTGAGACATGTGTCCGATGTTTATACCACTCTTTGGTTAGAGACATTGGGTTGTGCACCCGATGTCTATACCACTCCTTGGTTAGAAGCGTTTGAGACATGTGTCCGATGTTTATACCACTCTTTGGTTAGAGACATTGGGTTGTGCACCCGATGTCTATACCACTCCTTGGTTAGAAGCGTTTGAGACATGTGTCCGATGTTTATACCACTCTTTGGTTAGAGACATTGGGTTGTGCACCCGATGTCTATACCACTCCTTGGTTAGAAGCGTTTGAGACATGTGTCCGATGTTTATACCACTCTTTGGTTAGAGACATTGGGTTGTGCACCCGATGTCTATACCACTCCTTGGTTAGAAGCGTTTGAGACATGTGTCCGATGTTTATACCACTCTTTGGTTAGAGACATTGGGTTGTGCACCCGATGTCT